TGTCTGATTATAAAAACATTGAAGAGTCGATTGAAGTATTGAATCCATCGGCATACAACCAGCTGAAAATCCATCAATTTTCATTAGCATCAGTCGGGTGTTGAGAAAGACAATACTGGTAAAAGATTGTTCAAATTCCTTGAAAATACCTGAAGGTACTCGACAGTTAACGTTGATTTGACAATCACAATAGGAATCATTGGAAATATTATATATAATATAATGTCCCAATTGCAGAGATTTATTAAAAACTTGAAGATACAAAGGAACTATATTTGTTTCTAATGCTGAAAGAAGTTGATTACCAATAATCATTTTTCGAACAAAGTCTAATTGTTTTACAAATGTATCAGATGTTGTCAATCGAAGTTGTTCAATAGAAGTTTGTACTTCTAATTGAATAGCTGATTGAGATAAAACATAGGGACTGATTATTGATCTCATATTAAAAGATGCAATACTTTGACGAATATTTGTTTCTGTTAAATCACAAAGACTTGATAGAGCACGAAACTGAGCACTACCAATAGTTCGAAAGTCTGCTTGGTGAAAATATGTTGAATCAGAATCATAAAATATAGCTATAATCCATTGATTAGAAACAAAATCACTTGAACAAACTTGATGAAATCTTGTTTGAATGGATACAAATTGACCGTAAGATAAAGAAATTCGAGAACATGGACATTGCGTATCAATAGGTAATGTTTGAAATTGATTTTGAGTTGGATATTGAAGAATAACTTGACTTATTTTTGGACTTAACCATAAAGAAAGAATAAGAGTAGAAAGAGTTATACCATAAATAATAATATAAACTCGAGTAGCAATAATGTTTGAACGATGTTCATGCTCTTCTGGTTGATTAATAGGATTAGATGATTGAAAGAAATTAAGATTGAGAAAATAAGTTTTCAGAGTATGCATTATTTAACTAAAAATGAAAAGTTAATAGTTCATTATCTGTCTTTATAAGAGGTTAAAATGTATATTCTAGAAAAAGAAAGAATTGTTCATCCCTTTTGTGAGACGTAATGCAAATATGATGCGAATACAAATGTCTACTGAAAACTGATTGATCTCTATTGCAATGAACTGTAGCAAGACACTTGAATTATTCAAAAATGAATACTATTCATCAAGTAGTATACAGAATCTACTAGTTTAAGGAATAAGTAGCTTGTTTGTTTGAACTCTCTTTCTCTCGCTATATATCTTAATTTAACTTTTATTCCTAGTATAGAAGGGAAAAACAGGAGGAAATGCCGTCAGACGCTTCTAGTTTAAACTTGAAACATATAATTATCATTTGCTCACCAAGATCAAGATTATTATTGTAAGCAGCTATTAGAGCGATAGCATATATAATAGCGGGTGTCCAGAAAGTAACTAAACAAAGAAAAAAATTGAATACTTTCATCATACTTCATCTGAATGAGCTAATTTGTTTTCTGAGGGTAGAGGACAGATCAAAGTTTTTATTCATAAATGAATAGTTCATTTATGCACATACAATCAGAAAACTCTCATTCATTTTATCCCCACGTAATCATAAAACGCATTTTTGACGCGTTTAAACGCGTCTAGAATTGAAACAGCCTCCAAACGCATTGAAATGCGTTCATCATAGGGGTGTTTGAACAGGTTGCAAAGTCTTGCATGCGTTCAGACGCGTTTCGTGACTAAAACGCATCACAACTAATTTACAGTAGTTTTTAAACGCATTTCAACGCGAACAGTATCATTTTTGCATCGGAATGCGTTCATAACTGGAAATAATATTAAACTTAGATGCGTTTGAATGCAATTACTTCTACTTTTGCATCCGAACGCGCTTTCTCTATATGCAACTAATGCTTTTCAGTTTCAATCGTGCATGTAAATGTAGTTTCTTTTTCTGTTTTGCATAGACAAGATGCATCTGAATACGTTTCTAGCTGCATCTGCACATAGTGCTATCAATAATGCAGGTTACTTCGTCACAGCACGCGTGACTAGATCTCGAACAGTAAACTGAACTACGTATTTTTTATTTAAAAAAGCATAAAAATGATATAGTTAATTATATAGATGACGTATTTAAGTCTTACTGCGTTTCGAATTCTTAAAGAGGACTCTTCTTGATAATCTGCAGTTTTAAATATTACTGGCTTGCATTGCATGAAACAGAATATAAACACAAATAGCTGGATACGAGAAATCTCATCATATTTGTGTTCAGCATATAAAGTCATGAAGACTTAGTTAATCTATGAAATAGAAACAAATCAGTACACGTATCAAATTTTGAAATGTATAGAACATTCTTCGAAAACGGTATTACAATAATATTATTTTGCTACATGTCACTACCAGCACTTTTTTTTCACGAAATCAATTTCGCTCTTGTATAACACATATGTTAAGTGTAGCAATTTAAATTTCAAAAGAAATAAAATTTAAGTGTTAAGCAAAAATGTCCATTTTAACTCAAACATGAAGTTCACAGTTAGTTTCCATGTAAACCTATTAGAGATACAAATAGATAAGAAGTAGAAGAAACGAATGAATCTGGATGTAGCTCAGACACAACTTGAAACAGAATTGCGTCTGAATGTGGCTAAAAACAACTTAAAATAGCGTCTAAATGCAGTCAGAACACAAAATGTGCATTCAGACACTATTGCCATCGGACGTTTAGATACATACATGTGCAACAAATATTTTATCTGGGTTGGTTATGAACGCATTTACAATACATTTAATGTTTATGTGTTAAAGTCTAAAGTTTTTTTCTGCTTCTTCATTCTTACACTAAAGAGTCATAAGTGACAGAAGAAACAAAATGCATATAATCGTCTACAAAATACGTAATTCTTTAAATTTACTTTCTTCAATTTCCACTATTTTTTTTGAAAAGTAAATTCTATAAAATTTATCTTCACCTCGCTATGATTAAAAATTTCATTCAAAGTAATGAAGAAAAAGAAAAAATAATTACTTAATTTAAATTTAAGATTTAAATTAATTCTTTTTTACTTTAAAAAGACAAAAAAGTTAAGACGCTGCATCCATTGAGCATTTATTGAATAAGCAATTAATTATCGAAAAAACCGTTTTTCTCGTATTCTGTAATCCAAAAACTATAATTATTGTTTTTATAAAGTTAATCATATGTAACCGATGTCATGTATGCAATTTTAAGTGACACTGATAAATTAAAAAAATGAAAATATTTCAAAGTTTATATAATTTAATGAAGCAATTGCTATAAATTGATCTTTTTCTCTATAAAAAGTCACATGATAATAACAGATAAGACTGTACGAGTATTTATAGCTTCGTGATAAGTTCAATGTCTTTCATTCTGTAGGAATCATGATCGAATTTCGTTTGTTGCAGTCTATTCAATAACTTAATAATGTGTTAAATTGAAATAAAAATATCATGTAGCGATGAAAATGAATCGATACCATGATATAAAGCATAATTTTTTTAAAATTTAACAAATTTTGGATATCCTAAAACGCGTTTCGACGCGTCTAACAATAAATAACGTCAGCATGCGTTTCTCTATTAGAACGCGTTAGGACACACAAAAATGTTGCATTTTAGGCCACAAACTTAAACGTGTTTGTCTGCGTTTCAAACTGGTATCGCGTTATAACACCCGAAAATGTTGCATTTTGGATGCATCCAGACGCGTGAGATTACATTGCTGACAAACGCCCGGGGACGCGTCGAAAATTAAAAAATGGATACATGGGTCATTCAACAGCTTTACTGCTGATTTTTTTACTATTAATAAATGATTCTGCTATTATAATTTTTTATTACCTTCTTCTTTCTCTTTCTCTCTCCTTTTTCAAGTCATTCCTCTCGATGAAAGAGGAATCTATTCCGAGCAAAGATAAGAAACATTTTTTGATGCTTTATAATGATAGATCGTGTCTTTGTGTATGATTGTTTTTGTTCTCGTTCTTGTTGGATGTATGTATGAAAAGGAAGGAGTGATGAATAGAACCTCAACACCTACATGTCGCACTACTGAAGAAAAAGTCGCGATGGTGCGTCTTTTTTCTAAGTATGAAAAATGCACACGAAGTTCAAAGACAGTAGAACTACCAGCTTGATACAATTCGACCGAATATAGGCATAATTTTGTCAGTAAATCGGAAGTTTGATAAAACTGGAACAGTCAAAGATTTACGACGTAGTGGTCGATCATCAACTGTACTTTCAGAAGAGAAGGTGGAAGAAATTGAAGAAATGGTCAGCAGGAGCCCACGACTGTCTATTCAACAAGGTACTGTTCAAGCCTGTATAAGCAAAAGTGGTTCCCATGTAGCTATGAAACAACTTCAATTTCTATCTTATCGTCCAACTTTGATAGTAGACCTTAACGAAGACGATTTTGATTGTCGCAGCGAATTCTGAGAAATATGGCTCGAAAAATTCAAGAATAATCCAGATTCAGTTGATTGTATATTCTGGAGCGACGAGGCCAATTTCAGTATGGATACAACAGTTAATTGGCACAATTGCACGTACTGGGCTAGAGAAAATCCGCATTTCAAATTTGAAGTACCAAATACATAACAAGGGGTCACGGTGTGGTGCGGAATGACTTCCAATGGACTTATTGGTCCATATTTTTTTTAATGATACTGTTATTGGTTTATTATGCGAAGAGTTCCTGGCCGAGTGTGTCTAAGGAAATCATAAAAAACGCTTCAAGACCATCTTGAAAAGCTTTAGGCTCCAGTCCCGCTGAGATCGAGATCGGGACCATTTTCCAGTTTCCTGCTAGAAACACCGATTGCGTGATGTTGTGAAATAAACTTCTGCAATACTATCGATTGCCACCACTTTATTACTTTTAACACAAAAGATTGAACATCGTAAGGACAAAAAATACTCATCCGCTGTCATCCTTTAAGATAAACAGTATTATATCAGATAAGTACCAGGTACCTATTTCTGCACTTCTTCACCGCTTCTTGTCTTGAATCGAGCGCCAGCTTAGGTACTCTGTTACTCAAGATAGTCGAAAAGCAAGGTATTCTCATGCTTCTGATCTTCGAAGATGAAGAGAACAGATAATTTCTTTCGCACTCGATTTGATGTAAAATTACATGTAATTCTTTTCAACAATTATGTTATTAAACAATTGCACATATTCTTGTTATGTTCAAAATTCTTGTTCGTAAGTACGATTTTCGCAGTATTAGTACTCTTATCCGTACTTATCGAGCTCTGAAGGAAAATATTGAAATGAAAAACTTTCAAGCATATTAATACATAGTTTATTTAAGAAGCAAAAAATAAAAGTATGTATTAACATTATTTTAAAATAAGCACCGACTCAGCTAATTTCGATTGTATTTGTTGCTTTCGATGAACTTTCAATCCACCATCGATAAGCAATTAATGATTGACCGGTAAACAAACGTAAAAAATATTTCAAACCTAAAAATAAAGCAACGAACTTTTGATTGAAATTTCTTTATTAATTTACCTCCGTATAATCCTAAAAGTGTTATTAATATAAATATGGGATTATTTTTATCCGATATCGTATATCGACATTCTAATGGTTGACATGCTTCAAAATAATTTGTATAATTACTTTTATTATTCCATTTTTCTATAAATAAATCATCACTTAATTTTCCTAATGATAAATTTTGAAATTTCGATAAACGAAATCCATAATAAGGAAAACAACCAGTAAGAATATCTCCTGTTAATTGTACACTGCAATTTGATGATATTGCACAACTACAGTTTGATGATGAAAAACGTTGTGGAAATGTTTTTATTGTATAATTTTCATTTTCATCACTAAAATCAACTTGCCAGTTACTTGTAAAAAGATGTAATAGTTGATTAGCACTAAATGAATCAACTATAAATGAAAGTGTTCGACGATAATCAGCAGAAGTTTGAGAAATAAATGTTGAAATTAACGCTTGTATTTGAAAATCAAATGAAGAGCGAGTTAATGTTTCTATGCTAATCAGTTCACGAGTACCAAAAACTTCTTCAGCATTTTTGATAAAACGATGAGATGATTGACAAAGTGAACGTAATACACGATAGTGTGTGCTTAATGCTAATGATAAACTATCATTTTTTTTTAATAAATTAATACTATATAATGGAGAAACATATTCACTTGAACATATTGAATGATAATCTAGTTTTATTGATAGAAATCTCGAATAAGGAATAGCTACTTTTGAACAAGGACATGAAAGACTTGAAATATTTTTCTGATGAAGATCATTGACAATATTCATTGTTGGAGATTTTTTTTCGGTCAATTTTGTTTCATTACTGAATGGACCAGAATAAATAATGGCAGCAATTAAACATAATATGAAGAGAAATATATAAATGCGAGTAGCAATGATTTCTTTATGTAGAAATCGTTTCTCTGTCGAAGATCGCTCGCTCTCAAATAAATTCAATGATAACAATTTTTCAGAAATATTCTTAGAAGAATGAGATGGTTCTTTTGATGAAGAATCCATTATTGTATCTAGAATAGAACAGATACTTATTAGATCTTTTACAGTCTTGTTCATAACAATACCTATCATATAATATCACTATGAATGAACTATTCGAAGCTACCAGTTCATATTTTTGTGAACCAGTACTCAAACTCAAAGGCAACAAAAATAAAATATTTGAACTGAGACCCGTCCCTAGGCCCGACAGAGTCAGATCCTGATCTGACGAAATTCAGCTTCAAGTTTTTCTTTAATAAGATTCTACACAAAAAAATCTCAAACTAGCAGTAGAGTCAATATCGACAGTTGTATGAGACACTTTTAGCTGTATTTATATAAATGAAATCATGTTTGAAAAAGAGGAAAAAGTAACATAGTCTGAGTGTAGGTCAATTGTGTTCATATTCAACGTTGAATGAAAATTAGGTCTAGAATTTAGTCTGGATACAAAGCCGTATACGATGAAATATAACTCTTTGCACTTGAATTCGACTTAGTTCCAATCAGACTTAAATCTGACGGAAGAATCTGTAGCTCTCTAATCAATCAAGTGAAACATTTTTTTGAATCAGAATCATCAATTTTGATTTCTATATAAAACCATCTATTGTAGATTTAAAGTACAAATGCATATTATTTTCGTAAATCATTAACTGCTATGTATATTATGCAAATATCTGATTGAATAATTTAGGTGTTTACTGGAACGTGACATATAACAATATATCGCCTTCTATTGAAATATTTCCGATAGAGAAATGTTGTCTATTTAGAATCGAAATTCTACAGGAATCAATTCATTCATCATATTTACTATCGCAGTCAACATGACGCACTAAAATAAAATGCAACGAGAAAACAAACAATGGATTTTACAACATCTCTCCTTTTTCACAATCGAATTATTATAATTCAGTGAATTTTTGCGTCATTTGATCTAACTATTATGACGTCAGAAATTATATACATTGTAATAATGAATTTATGCAAACAATCCTATTCTATCATATCGATTGAAATAGTACACATCCCTAATGACTACGAACGTGTGATGTGAGGAGGAAGCTCCCTCAGTCATGGAAATCATTTGTTTTTGCTTAATAAAATGAGAAAGACTCTTTTGAAAAATTTTAGTATCCTTCTCAATCATGACACTCCTGTCGATTCCATTTTCATAACATTTGAAACAGTATTCAAAATACACGCAGAAATAATTAGGAAATTTTTTAGAATGTTTTCCTACGAAAACTGGTTGGATTCGTCTGGTAACTATCAGGTGTTCTGTTCATTATCCAAAATCAATGCGATGTAATCCACCGATAATATAGGCAAAATTCAAGAAAATTATTCAATGAATAGAATCATTCGATTCCTATTTTGAAAAACTCATCTTTGTCCTTGATTTTATATGTTGACTTATTTTAGAAAAACTCTTCTATTGTATGTCAACAGATTTCATAAGATTCATAAAAATAATTTTCTACTGAAAGGAAAGTTTAAAACTTTCAATTACATTCAAGTGAGTCAATATGTCAGGATGACATCTTGGATTATGTTTTTCCTTCATTTTTAAACATTTGATATCAAGAAAGTTTTTAAGTAAAACTGAAAATTTTTTACTCCAATGCGAAGTTTGAGCGTTATTATTCAGTCAAACGGAAAAGATAACTTCTATTAAAATAACGAAAAAATATCTACTAATCATTTTTCCAAAAATTTTTGTTGAAGATTAATTAAAATATATATTTTTCTCGATAATCTGTTTTATTCATAGGATATCGTCAATGTATTCTTTCTAATGAATAGAATAAAATTATCATGATTATCTTACCCGTTGTGATATTATTAAGATTGTTTAATTGTATTCGTTTTTTTCGTTTTGGCCATTGCTGTAAAATTACCTTAACAATTGGCGGTAAAACTATTTCTAAAATGGCACTTAATCCACCATAAAATCCAAGCATCATAGTCAACATATAAGTCAGACTAATATGTTTTCCTATAGTATAAGTACATTGTGTAGGTTCACACCGTGTATAATATGATGTAAAATTACTTGAATTAATCCAATCTTCAACAAATAATTGTGAAAAAATTTCATTTATTGTTGTATTTGGATAAAAACGACTATTCTCATTTCGAAGTGGTTCTATTTGAACAGCATGACTGTTTAATGGTCGAACTAAACCAACAACATCAAAGTCGTAATTATCAACAACAAGTTTAACACATTGTTTATCGTAAAAGCATTCTAATGTAGACAAAAGAAGAGAATCAATGGTATAACAACCAAGAACTAGACCAGGTACAGTTATATTAGATTGAGAACGACTTGTATCTGTTTGAAAATAAAAACCAACAGGATGAGTACATTGATTTGATACAGCGCATGAACATGAATTGGTACGAAAAGCTCTTGATCGAAAACGAAATGACCATTTGGATGTTTCATTATTATATTGTGATGAAGGTTCAACATTTGTCCAAGCTTCATCAGCTAATTGATTTGTTTGAATTGATGAACGAACTAATTTGATCAGATCAACAAAAGAAGTTATTGTTCGTTTTTCAAATTGTTTCATACGTGTCATAGTTTCAATGTTAAATTGTGAACGTGATAATGCATTCATTGTAACTAATCGATTCGATCGAAATACTCTTAATGCATTTTCAATTGTTTCGCGTGATGTTTCACATAATATACGCATTAAATCAAAAAATGATTGACCAGTAATTCGAAAATCAGTTGATAATAATAAAATACTCTCAATATCAAGTTCTACCTGACCAAAATAAGATAACCAATGTTCTTCAAGATATTCACTTGAACATATCGAATGATAACGTGGAGAGAGAGACATTATTCGAGCATATGACATTGAAAAACGTGAACATGGACAATTCAATTTTGACGAATGCATTGAATATAGTTCTTCAAATTGCAAAAGTGAAGGCCGTTCAACTGTAAATGTATGACTACGTTTTGAAAAAGATGTATAAAAACCAAGAATTATAAGACCAACAAGTGTTAAGAAAATATAAAGACGAGTAGCAATGATGCCAATACGTTCTTTCTCTAAATCATTTTTGTTATCTGATGGAAATAAGTTAAAATTATGAATTGTTCGATGAACATGAGCAGTGACAGCTAAACAAAGAAAAAATTATTCTTTGAATTTTTGTGAAACTTGACAATACCCAACATAAAATGACCCTAGGTAAGTGATGCAGGATTGTGTACTTCAAATCATCCACCTTATAGCATGCTAACTGCATAGGGGCATGCATCGGCTCTAGTGGCTAGTATATGGAGAGCTCAAGCCATTGAATGAAAGAATTCTAAATCTGACTTGCCCTCAAGATACAATTACAACTAGTGATAGTTGTAGGAAAGAGATGAGGTTAATAAGACTGTTTCTAACCAACACACTGGACGGTAAGGTATCCAAAAGGCGAAGGTTTTCGTCGTTCACTTTTCCAATTTGATCAAGACTACTCAAAAGTCAAGACGAAATTTTACAAGAATATTTTGATGTTTCTAAGAAATTTTCTCTAAAATTTAAGTATTAACATCTAATGTTTGAAATGAACAGTCTACCTCTAGAGATAATTTCGTACACTCAGTCAAATGGTAACATTTGTTGTTCGGTTTAAGACAGATCTAACATTTTTATCTCATTGTTTCTAAAATCCCATCATTAGCTTTTGTGTAAAGGAGGAGTCAACATTTCGGAAATGTTAAGATTAGTGTTAGATCATCATGAATCTAAAAATAAAGATTACCATTCGACTCAGCATAGTGAATTACTTCACTCTAACTGTCCTTTCTAATGATCACAGGTGAATCAGCTGAAATCATAGGTCTCCGAAGAACTCTCATAACTCTCGAATGGAGTTAGCTAAAAACTTTAATCTTGCGTAGATCGAAAAAGAAGACGTTTTCTATCGATTAATTCTATTGAAAGTTTGGATCGAGAAGAAATTAGCTTTAAAATATCATTCTCAAAGATTTCTATTTCGCACTCATTTTATTGGTTAATATTTGTTCAATCGAACTTCGATTTACTATTATAGCTCTGAGCAAGAAAGACAAATCAAGATTCTCGTATTCTAGAGTACAACTATACTCCACTGTACTCCTCAGTTGTACTCTGAAGTGTGGAGATCTTGTTCTCTCTCCCCCTTAACTCTGAGTGTTCTCTAGCTCTTTCCATTCTTGAATTATTCCAAAAATGGCGACGGCCACTATTTTTTTTGAACCGACGGCACTGTTTACATATTTTAAATTAGAGTACAATATTTTTTAAATCTCAGACATGAAACTATACTACGTAGTATTTAATCCACTGTCTTAGTTTTTTTGCTTTTACATAACGGTAATTAAGGAATAATTGAAACATAGATTATATTTTAGACTCTTTTTGTTGCATGCGTACTTTATATGAAACGAAAAGTAAAGTCTGCACAAACAGGTGCAAAAGTACATTCTTTACTCTATATTTCATCGAGAAATTTTACAAAGAAAATTTTAATAGAAATCATATGATGGTGTAATATAGAACTTTTTATGCTCGTTTTCCGAAGACTAAACATCTTCAAGAATTGCTATGTTGAGTTCATACCGTAAATTTAAATCTACATAGAATGATCCAAAAGTTCTCAGACTTCACCCTATCTATCTAGGAAAGCTGCCTTTCATTCATCTCTCTGCGCTATAGATCCTTTTTTAACTAACTCTTCAGGCATTCTTTTGAAGCAAACAATAGACATTAAATTGATCTCCTGAATTATTGCTAGAATTTCACTACTTTTTAAGCCCTCAAACATTTGGAAGAGTTTCTAGAGAATGAACAGATTTAATGTTATACCAATCGTGACTATCACACTTTGATCTGTCATCGAAATATTGGATGAAAATCATTGTTGAAACTAAGGTCAACAAGAGAAACAAGCTCTCTAAATGACATTCTCTTTCAACGATATCAAAAACAATAATATTCGTCAATTTGTTTATAACATTCGGCTCATTATTTATCATATAGTGGTTTCTGTTGTGTCTAATGATGCTACCTATTTGTGCAACATGTAAAATAACGTCATTATCTACAGCAAAAATGAAATTAATGAAGCCAAAGTTCTCCAAGTGTTCTTACGTCGGACTAGCCTTCCCGATTTTGAGCTGTCGAAATGTATTGAAGATGACCTAGGCAATACCAGTTACAGCAATTTAACAGGGGAGATAATCGAGAAAACCAATTTAATATCTATTATTAACGTTGAACGGATCCGTGAAGACCGAGTTACAGAGCAGTCATCCTATTCCGCAAAGTTACACATTCCTGCATCGCATAA